CCACGTGCTAGGCTCTTTCTGTTACTACACAGCTGCCTCCTATTAACTCAAAATTCTAGGACAAATTATTTAAACAGATGGCCAGAAAGCACTTGGAAAAGAAGTTGATAACCCTAGGTGCCAGGACAAAGAAAGACTTACGGCAAACTAACCCCATCCCTCTTTCTGGGTAGATCTGGTCTGGTAGATCCAGGCAAAGCTGTCGACATTCCTTGTCTCTCAAATTCAGCGTTGTGTTTAATCATGTTTCCATCACTGGTTTACACAAAAAGGAAATATGTGGCCAGGATGAGAGCACAGCTAGGTGAATCATTGTACAGTGAACGTGGGAGGCTGAAGTGTGTTATCAGTGGATGGATGTAAAACTGGAGGGTGGTGACAGGCCACAGTGCTCTGTCCTCAGCCTGGCCCGCTCACATGTCTGTTCACTCCTCATGTGCTCACACAAGCATTTACTGAACAGCAATGATGTATAAAAGGCCCTCTGTCAGGTACAGGGGTTGTGTGGTGGACACCAAAGTGTACCACATCAATTCCTCTTCAGAAGGGCTTCTCGCACCAGCTGCTGCGAGTGCTATTGGCAGACAGCCTTCAACTCTCACCACCTCAGGCGCTGCCTCAGCCGCAGGGAGCCACCCCGCCCCTTCTTAGCCTGCCCATATGGGAGCACTGACTGATGTAGCATAAAGGTCATTCACCTCAGCCAAACTCAGAACAACTCTGAAGGGTCCTTCTAGCTCAGAGTTTCCCATGCTATCAGCTCAGGTTGCTGTGGGGAATGTAGAACAGCTTAACTTCTCCCTCTGCCCACCCCACCCCACAGGTGTTGAGCTGGGGTCACTCCTTAATAAACATCCTGCACACTAATCTCGGCGTTGGATTCAGTCTGCTTCACGGAACATCCATTGGGAAAAGGAGCGGCTTTGTCCTTTGTTCATCCTCTAAACAGCACAATACAATCAAGGACAAGCGTTACACAGCATTTGCGTTTAATACTTTTTTGTGTGTGTGTGAGGAAGATCGGCCCTGAGCTAACATCTGCCAATCCTCCTTTTTTTTTGCTGAGGAAGACTGGCCCTGGGCTAATATCCATGCCCATCTTCCTCTACTTTATATGGGACGCCACCACAGCATGGCTTGACAAGCAGTGCGTTGGTGGACGCCCGGGATCCGAACTGGGGAACCCCGGGCCGCCGCAGCAGAGCACGCGCACTTAACTGCTTGTGCCACCAGACCGGCCCCAATACTTTTCTTTCAACAATGGAACAGCCTGCCTCAAAAAGCAGTGAACTTTGTGAGACAGAGGCAGCACTATTACTGTTGTAACGGTCTGTCCCAACCAAACAAGTTGGCATTTTAATGAAATCTGTTTCTGTTCAACCTGCTGCTGACTAGCAGGTAGCACAGCATCACTGGTGTTTACAAATTAGTGATTAAAAACTTTCAAGAGGAAATTTCCTAGACTCAATCAGTTCTGAGAATAATTTGAAGGTAAATGGGAAAAAAATTTCATTTTCTAATGAACTCCCAAAAGTAATCTAAGATTATTTAAGACGCAGTGGCTGAAACTGTCAATGCCCACCAATATCCACTTGCCCCTTTGTTTTTTAGTAACAGAACCCTGAGTTTTAGCTGGTTACATGTCTATCCAGCCAAAGACTACATTTCCCAGACTCCCCTTCAGCTAATGTGGCCACATGATTAAATTATGGCCAGTGGGATCTGAGTGGCAGTCATGTGTGCAACTTCTGAGTTAAACCCTTAAATGAAACCACTGGCCTTGTATTTTCTCTTTCCTCCACCCCAAGGCTGGCACTTGGAGGTCATTGATGGTGGTAGGGCAGCAGCACCTTTGGAAAGGGGGAGCAATAATATAGAAAGTTCCTGGGTTCTTGAATGACCTCTGGAGTAGGGCTCTATTACCCACCTGAACCGCCTACCAGCTTTGACTTTTATATGGGAGAGAAGTAAACCACTTATTTTGTTTAAGCCGTTACTATTTTGGTCTCTGGTGAAGCAGCTCTACCAATATTCTAACTTGTACAGATGCCAAATCAACAACTAAAACCTGGGTGCTGTTCATTCTTTGCCCTATCAGCATGGTCTCTTGTCAGGATAAGAATAGAAATTAACATCCTGTTCCTGTGCCTTAACCTCTGCATCATCCCCCCTTCTTTTCTGGTGCTCTGCCTTGTCCTGGCCCACATTATACTTATATTTCCATATAAAAATCAAGGACCAAGGCGAGGACTGGACTGAAATTGTGTTTTGTCTAGACAGTAGGATCTTTTGTGAGCAATGAAAACCTGTATTTTCTATGCTGCTGAAGCTTTGCTTTGGAGAGGAGTAATCTTCAGATAGGTTTATGTTATACATAGACATAGATATACATAATTCATTCATTCATCCATCCATTCATTCATTTCGTTCATTTATTGAGTAATTTGACTATGTAGTGTGTACCAGGAAATTATTCAAAATTCATGATAGGAGATATCAAATGAGTTACAATTCATTGATATATATTCACAGATGGATGAACAGAACAAGTGAAAAACAACTTTAGCTTAAAATTCCTCAAAAGAAATAGAAATCAGAAAGCCAACATAAGCCATTGGTATAAATAGCTTACCCCTTGGAATTTCCTCTATTTCTGTTACTGTAAAGATTGATGCTTTTGTAGCCTAAGAACCATAGCGTAAATGAAATATTCTGATATATATCATTAACTGCTGTAGGCTCTATTTCTCTTTGTGTATCTGAATTAAGTGTAGCTATATAAATGCCTGATTGGCTGGAAACATCTAAAGATGGACAGAGCATTTGCCAATTTTATCATGGCACTGACTGGTTTCAGAAGGTTTTTTCTTACTTATCTGGTTCTGGAGATAATGTACTGCATATGGCATCTGTGAAATACAGGCACACACGGTGAACTAGAAGAGGGCAAGGATTCTGAAGCCCAGAAGATGTTTTCAGGTCCAATCTCTCTTTATACTTATGTATATTTAGAAACATGCTCACCGTTTCTAAAGTAGCAATAACAGCTCACTCTCCTATACTAACTATCAAAAATCACAAATATTTAGAATCATAGGAGTGGCAGAGCCAGGTTCTCACATTAGAGGGGACAAGCTCGGGGTGCGAGGGTGGTGGTGGTAGGACGATCTTAGGGTCCCTTGGTTTGTGGCATTGCTGGTATGCTGAAACAACCTAACCCTGTGATTACTGTCCCCGAGTGTCTCCATCTGGTTTTCACACTGCTTTCCTAACATCTTTTCCTCAGAGTCTTCACCACATCATGTCAATATATTAGCTTAAAAATCGGTGGTGGGAAGAGCTCAGAGTAAACGACCACGCTGCTCGCTGTGCCCTCAGCAACATATCTGGTTGGAGGACTATCTATCAGATGACTTCGGCACACACATTCTTTTTGATAGAACGATTTCTCCTGTCCTAGATTCAACTAGCTTTCAGCTAATATACACCATGTGCCTGCGACTCTTCTGGTAAGTTTTCTTTCACGTATATTTGTTCATTTAATCTTGTGATCTTGCATCCTACATTTACCCCCAGGTAGCTTCCAAATGCCCACTAAGCTTATTACACTCTACAGAGAAGTGGACATAAACAGTTTTCAGGTATTTAAATAAATTTTTACAATTAATTTAAGAAATGATTCAGTAAGTGAAAAATGATCTGAAAGATGTCAGCTGAAAAGTGAAAGTGTGTGCATTTAAATGCCCCCATTACATAGAAATCACTGGTATTACAGACCAATATGTGAGTCCAAAATCTGTACCTCCCTCTGCGGAAGGGAAGCAAAACTAACGTATTTCATGCTTCCCTTTTCAGGAAGACATCTTAAGATGGCAAGTGAGTATATGATTAAAAATTACCTGAAATACCATTTGCTGTGGTTGATTACTTAGCAATCATTTTATTTGTCACTAACAGTAGTGATAAAGGCCATTATAAGCACTAAGCACTCAAGAAGTCGTCATTATAGATTCTATTCATCCCAGACCAGCAAACATTTATTCTCGAAGGATAGATGATTACAACTCCTTTAGAGGGGTTAGCTGAAATATTTCCAGAAGCATCTCAAAAATGGTTCAGCATTTATTAACTAGCTCATTCATGGGGAATGCTGTGGGGAGGTCACATCTCTCTGAAGAAGACGCCAAGAACATACTTATTAGCTGTTAGTTTGCGAGCCTTCATCTGCTCTGTGCAGCTATTTTTAGAAAACAAAATTGTAGCATTTATCAAACACCACGGGGAGAAAATACTGTAAATGCTGGAACTCAGAATTCAGCAACTGAAGAAATTTAGTAGATGGGAACTGGGGGAAGGAAGAGCAAATTGTAGAAAAATACCAATTTGAATAATATAAATCAGGCATATCTGTATTTTAGGTGCCTGAAGATCAGAGTATTTACGATAACTTGATAATAAAATATAATTAAGATTATGAGGCTTAATATCTTTTTAGACTATGATCTATGATATTAGACAAATATTTCTTTTTGGAGTATAGCAATGAAAAGCGTTTTTTTTTTTTTTAAGAAAAGCATTTTCTTTGGTTTTCTTCCCATTAGTTTCTATGTGTTATATCATTAAAAAGGACACTTAAGATATGTTTTTAAAAATCACTATTAGTAAATATGTAAACTTCATGTTGTTTTTAATTGCTTCAGAAGTAAGTCCGGATAATCTTTTTGTTATGTTTTTTCTTCTTTTAAAATGCTTGCAGGAAAGTAAGTCAAAAAGAAATGTGGTCCCAAGCATTTTCACCATTTTGCAAAGCACAAGAACCGCAGTATAAAACGAGCACGACTTTCTAAAGCTGGCATGGGCTGTGTAGGGTTTATGGAGTGGGTAAACGGTGACCATGTGCAGCCTTCAGTGTAAGGAGTTTCTGATCTACTTACTGCCTAGGGGCAGAGCACAGCTCTCTGTCCAGCCTCGCCAAAGCTTCATATAAAAAAACCACTCACCACTGGTGACGGGGAAAGTGCAATGTTGCCTATCGACGCCTTCAGCTCATCTACAGTGGCAGCATTCTTAAGAATGTCTTTAGACTGCAATGGCTTAATCTTGATATTAAATTTCTTGTGTGATTCTTCTTCCTCTTCTGATTCGCTCGAAGAATAAAAGTGCTTTCCTTTGGTAGGTAGAACACAGTTAAAGATACATAACTCTTTTTTCTACTGGGAGGCAATGATGAGTGATTGAACAGAGAGGCAGCAAAAGTATCCTTCGATGGCAGAACATCAAAGCAAAACCCAACAAAAATAAAAAAAGTAAAGCAGGAGAGGGTTAGAATGTACGTGTGTTTCCTCAGAACGTGATTAAGGGTGGTGAGTTTCAAGGAGCAATGGTTATAAGGTCTACATTTTTGCTGCAGTGGCCAGTTGGCGTGTCATGCTCAGCACCCATCCTGACCAGCCTGCATGAGCTTACTCGTCTACGTAGAGAGGAAGGCCACTCTAGGGATGATTTGGGATGAGTTTTAAGTGCTTCCGAGTGTGACACGCTCTGCCCAGAGATGATTTGTGGGAAAGGATAAGTCAGAGCTGTTTTCCAGCCACTATAAATGACACTGACATATCAGACAACTCAGTCCCCACAATTTGCATGGTTGTTTTTCCGCACATTTCTCTCTTTCTTCTCTCTCATTTCTATGAATAGATCAAAGCAAAATGCCTGCTTGTTAGTGATCAGGCTGTTCTCTGTGCTGTTTACTCATCTCTAACATTAAGGACAAAAGGACTTGGGAAGCATGGGTAATTTCAGCACCTTTTTGAAACCTGAATTGATCATACTGTTTTCTGAGAGAAAATAAAAATTTAAAAAATAAAGAAAGGATATAGCCAGGTTCCTCGGGTCTGATGCTGTAGCCTTCTTCATCCAGCTCAGGTGAGTTCTATAAAATGCAAGTGCACATTAAGCAATTATCATCCTGACAATGATCAAAGAGTTATTAATTTTCTTTCTACTTACTGATATAGACATGTCTCTTATTTTAGGAGGCTAGGATTTTAACTTTTAGAAATGAAGGCTAAGCAGTGTATGTTTAGGTATTTACTTAAGGATACTTGGAGAGTCTTCCTATTAGGAAAATAACCTAGGAATCAACTGTCAATGAAAGAAAACATTCAAAGAGAATTTATCACACATTTCCTATCAGCCAAGGACTTTGCTGAGAAACATAGGGGGATACAAAATGCAAACTGTTTGTCCTCAGGAAAATTGAAATGTATTTTTGTAAGAAAAAAAAGCATACAGAACAAAAAACATCAGTGATTGGAGTGTGAAGGAAGAGGAAATTAGTGAGGTTTGAAAGAATGGGGGTGAGGGGTTGCTTGCGCCTTTCAGGACAGCTGGGGAGGACGGAGGGGAACCGGTGGAGGGAAAGAGCCTGTACTGAGACCAAGGCAGGAACGCACAGCATGATTCAGACGTGCAAAGGGAGAAGCGACCACAAAGATGACATGACTGGAAAGGAAGCTGGATGGCGGGAGACGATGGGAAACAAGACCACGGGTGCCAACGCGCTGAGGGAAGAGTTTGTGCTTGATTGAGCTCCTGCAGCTTCTCAACACGGGCAGCACATGCTGAAAGCAGAATCTTAAGGTGTTTTGGAAGTGTGCTTCAGGACAGATTGGGGGCAGGAGAAACTGGAGAAAAGAAGGTGTTTTGGAAGTGTGCTTCAGGACAGATTGGGGGCAGGAGAAACTGGAGAAAAGAAAACTCATTCAAAATATTTGCATCAATTCAGGTAAGATGTGCTAAGAATAAGGACCAAGTTGTTGGAGCTGGGAAGGAATGAATCAAGGACGAGTGGAAGGACAAATTGTTCATTCTTGGTAACAGATCAGTCATAGGAGAAAAGGAGCAGGAAGGTTCAAGAAGACTCCAAGATTTCTACCTTCAAATCCTGGGAGTACTCCTGTCTGAACTAATTGTAACAGCAGGCAACCAACATTTTTAGGAAAAAGACAGTTTGCATTTTGGGGATTAGTATTATCATATTTGAGTTCCTATTATATGGTAAGTATTGTGACCCACAATCCATTTCACTGAACCTTCATAACAATCTTATGTGGAAAGAATTATCCCATCCACCAAGGAGGAAACTAAAAGAAATCAGATGTCATTTCTCAAGGAAACACACTCAGCACATGACAGACCTGAGCCTTGACCTCAGGAATTTTGAGACTATCCCGTATGCCTCAGAGGGGAGGAAGGTGAAGAGTTCAAGGGCTGGCCCTCTTGAAGTCAAGGTTATAGGCCTGGAGGTGAAGAGGACAGGGCTGGAGAGAGAGGTTTTTGAGTCACTGAAGCAATAAAAGTGCCGCGATCATGGAGAGAGAAGGGGGACACGGAAAAGTCACCATTTATTGTGGTCTCCCTCACGGCCTTCAGCACTCAAAGTTACTTTTTTTAAAAATACAAGTCTCTTGAGGTCACTTCCATGCTAAAAACCCTGGCTTCTCACTGCATTTAGAATAAAAGCCCAGTGCCTCTGTGCAGCCCACAGGGCCCTGCGTGACTTGGCTGCTGGCCCTCTCTAGTCTCAGGCCTGAGATTCTCTTCCCCGATCCCCCTTAGCCCTGTGGCCTCCTTCCCGTTGTTAACTTTTATGATTTGGATACAACAGCTTTTTCCCATTTCAGGGCCCTCATAAATGCCATTCTCTCTGCCTGGAATTCTCTTCCCTCAAATGTTAAGCCAGTCAACTCCCACTTATAGTTTAGGGCTTTGCTTAAAGGTCACATCCTCCCTGAGGCCTGCCCTCCTCTTTCTCCTTCCCTCCCAAAAGAGTGATGATATAATCTATGAAGAATAAAATCCTTCTTACTGCTTAGAGAAAATGGTGTCTAATGTATAATTACAGCAGCAACTCCTATGTGTCCTGATTAGTTTCTAAGACTAAACAAATTTGAGGGTAGTTATGCTTCATTTAAGCACCCAAGTGTTGACCAGGAGAGCACCAGAGTTTAGGGTTGTGTGCTAGATGGGGGGTAGGGTGTAGTACTTGATAAGAAATTTGGTATTTTAATTATCATCCTTCTTGTTTGTTTAGAGTATCCCATTCTTGTGTACTAAGGAATCCTACAAAATATAACAAAAGTCTTTCTAGGTAAAAAAGAATTAATTTTGGGAAAAGAACTCACCCTTTCTTAATATCTAGTAGCTTCCCTTACAACATTATTTGTGAACAGTTTGTATTTAGGGTAACATGGGGGCTGTCACAGATTTCAGAGAATTGAACTGTGAAAGAGATCAAGATCTGAGTCCTGGGAAACAGATGTGAGAGGACCAGGCAATGAGATTGGCAGAGAAACATGTTTTAGGGTGTAGGGGTGGGAAGCATGAAGAATTAACCTTCAGTTTTCCTTTCTCTAAAATGCAGATGACGTAGTATTTGCTTCTTAAGGCAGCAAGGAGTCCATAGCATTTAATATTATGACTGACAAATAGTGAATATTCAATAAATGGTAGTATTATCTATTATCAAAATAAAATTCTTCTTATAAACAAATATGCTTTGTTATAAACAAAAACACTTTAACGTCAAGCTTAACTTTTATGGAAGGGGAGGTTAGGTCAAGGTGGTCAGTCATCAACAGGACACGTGTGAAAGCATCGTGCAGGGACTGTGGATTTGGGCAGTAGAAATGACCTTTGATGTGAACATGGTCTACATGTCTTATATGATTAGAGATCCAAGAGTGATTGTGGCGGTCCTGTGTGTGTTCATGATGCCAATCAGTTTCTGGGGGAATTATGAGGAGAGTTTAGGTCTCAACTGGGATTCATCCTCACTCCTCGAGAAGCAACAAGGGATTGTCACTTGACCTGGGAAAAATCTGTACCATGAGGCTGTAATAATTATGTGCCACGGTCTGAACGTTTGTGTTCCCCCAAAATTCGTATGTTGAAATCCTCACCCCAAGGTGATGGTGTTAGGAGGTGGGGCTGTTGGGAAGTCATTAGGTTGTAAGGGAAGAGCCCTCATATTGGGATTAGTGAGACCCCAGTGAGGTTACAGCTAGAAGGTGCAATCTACAAACCAGAAAGTGGGCCCTCAACCAGACACACACCGGACACCAAACGTGCTGGCACCATGATCGTGGACTTCCAAGCCTACGGAACTCGTAGAAATAAATGTTTGTTGATTATAAGCCACTCAGTTTATGGTACTCTTGTTATAGCAACCCAAACAGACTAAGATATTATGAAACCAAGGCCCAGAGGTTAATTGACTTGCCTTGGATTCTTAAAGCTGATTAGAAAGAGAACCAAGACTGAAACATCTGGAGTTAATAGTAGAAAAAGCCTTTTTTGAACACATATTACAGGCTACGCAAGCTACTGAAATATTCTGCAAATAATTAGCTCATTGAATCCTCAAAACAATGCTGTAAAGACTTCACATCTGCTGGTCAGCAAATAGCTCTCCCAAAGCCACACCCAACTGATGCATGGAGGGGCCAGGTCTTGAACCCAGGTCTAAGAGTCTCTCGTGCTTAATCCCTGTGCCACCCTAATTGTGCCAGGCACTTCCTAATGAGATGGAAAGTGTTTCACTTATTTCTGTGTCCTATTATAAATATTAGAATGCCTCAACTCGTTTTCAAGTTGTGAAATACTTAGTAAAGAAAAACAATCTTGTGATACTCACGTATCTTTCCCAATCAATTTCTGCATAAAATCCATTTGGTGCCCCATTGCTTTTCTTCTGTAATAAATTCGAAAATACATTTAGAAGAGAAATATTTGAATGAAAAAAAAGGAACAAAGAATGCTTCACTCTTATCTGTATTTAGCAAGAGCTATCAAAATCCAGCACTGGAAAGACAAATTAGAGCAGCCTATTAAGCAACCACACTGGTGTAACTGGGTGGTAAATTGAGCTGCCGTCACGCTGCATACCAGAGCTTACGTACTAATTTCACAAAAGACTGTAGGATCCCTAAGCACAGGGATATTAACAAGTAGTGATTCAAATTTTATTCAAGTACTGAAGAATTAGAAGCATCTACATTATAATTTAATCCTCTATAACTTCAGGGCATGTAACTATATATAGACATATGTATTTAAACGGAAACATTTTAACTTCTGCATTGCTCTCACATACAAGTAGTTCCAACATATCCAAAGTCTTCATACCAGTCTCTATGTAATCTTCTCATAGCTTTTCTAACACTGACTCAACTTTCCTAACTCCCTCCTGATAGAATATAAAGGAAATCAGCTTCATATTAGTTAACTCAGCTCCTACGCATTACAAATAGTATTGATATTCTTTTCAAGTGGCTTTTCTTAACAAATTATTAAAATAGAATTCGAGGATTAACGAGGATTTCTGTCATCCGTGCGTCCTATGCCTTTATGAGCCCACATCACTGCAAGATGACTGGATATCAGCATTACTCTCTCTGGATTGTTGTAAACTTCTCTTTGGTCCCCAGTACCATCATGATATATGGCCACTAGCACTTGAGCAATGATGTGGCATCATCCAAACAGAAATTGCTAGGATTCTCTACTTTTTGTGAGCAAAGGACAAAAACACAAATCAGGTGGGTCATGGAGAGTCCATTCAACAACATTCCTGTACGTAGCACACAGAGCGATGTATGTCACTGAGCACTAGCCGATCTCCGAACAACACACATCAAATGGTGAAGCATGAGGCTTGAGGACAGGACCTCTAATTTTACACCACAAATAAAGGCCACTTGAACAACAATGTGGACAGCTAACACCTAATTTGACAAACAGGTAAGAGGAGTAAGCTTTCTGTGTATGTATATCACTAGAAAACCAAATTAGAGGTATCCTAGTAACCATTAGTGTTGATTAATACTTACTGAATGTTAACTGGGCATTCTAAGAACTAGCAGTAGCTTAGTTAGGGTGAACAGTGCTTGAGGAACAGATAAAGTGTTCATGCCCTCCCTCTTCCTATACACTGCCACTGCACTGAATTTATGAGTACAAGAACTCTGCCATGCCTCCACAGACCAGCACCCAGGAACAGGTCCCGTGCCCCTCCTCCTCTTTGTTCTGCTCCTGACAAAGATTATACACTTTGTCAGACCACATCATTTTAACCTTCTCACAGAATTGCCTTCATTGAATTAATGCTTCTGTGATATTCTTTCTACTTTTAAAAATCTGCCACGTCAACACTGCACCTATATAAGCTATGAAGTTGAGGACATGGCCCATTAAATAACGTACCATCTAGTAATAAAAAATCTCTCCCAGGGGAATGGGCATGGTTCCTATTTTCTTTTTGTCATATTTGCTTTCTTGTTTAATTCCTACTTTACCACTCTGTTTGCGTGTGTCTTCTTTGCAAAATTCTCCAAATCCTTCTTAGAAAGCATATAAAATAAATTCAATATACATATTTAACTTATAATAATGGGAAATCAAATGAACTAAGTTGATTCCAAAGAACTAAACTCATGAATTTTGTGATCAGTACACTATCACTATTAATATACTATTTAGTTCATAAACAATTCTTCAATACAAGGATTGTTACCTAAAAACCAAAGAGATTAGGCAAATTAATTTTCAAAGTTTTACAGTTTGCTTCCAGGATAATCTCATCTCCATAACCAAAGCCCTTCACAATCAAGATAACTTATGTGTTCCACTGAACGAATATGTGTGTGTGTTTCCTTCCTGACAACATATATCCAACATTATGGATAAAAAAGTTTCTGAATTTTCTAGATCTGGGCTGAGTGAAACTTTCCCAGTTTCCATGAAAACCAGTGGAAGCTTGAGATGAAGAGAAAGCAAAACCTAGAAACAATTTTTTCTTTTAAACTAAGAAAATTTTAAACACAAATACTAAACACAAACAACAACTCATAACAATACATTCTTCTGGGTAGATATTCAACCCACATACACACGCACGGCTTTATTAGATGAACTGGCAATTTGGCGTCCTTTGTGCCAGTGAATTCTTATAAATATATGTGGTTTTACAAGTGGAAATTATCAAGTTAAAGCTAGGCCAGGGCCTGGCTAAAGTTCTTCTGGTCAAACCCCAAGGAAAAAATGATTCTCCCGGTTTAACTGCTTAAGCAAGGTGCAGCTCATGGTGGTAATAGTGAAGGCAATGGCTCTACAGATTTTCAATTGGAAAACATCGAAGAAGCAAGGAAGAATATAAGTTAAGTGGGGAAATATTATTTAAAAATGAGGCTTAACAGTAAAAGCAATATTGGCTATTCACCAACACATAAACAGTGATTTTTCTCCTGGAGTTGGAGTTATGTATTCTTTTACTTCTTTCTTTTTAAAAATTCTTTTTTTAACTTGACTAAGTAACTTTTATAACTTGAACATATGACTCTTATTTAAAGATAACTGAGGCTCCCGGCAACATTAATCATGTTTTAATAGGTATTTTACTTTGGCTTTATTTCAGGCTTATTATCTGCTCTCAGATAATATGACGGGCTAAATCAATAAATGTAGTAACAATTGTGTTCAATTACACATTTATTAAAGTTCTGAATTTCCACTGTGAATACTCCTCTTTTCCAAGGTCAGTTCATGGCCACGTAGTGTTCCTTGGGTGAGAAGTATTAAAGACACATGAGGTACCACCTAAATATTATCTTTTTGTCACCGAGGTAGACTTGACTCACTTTGTAAATAATCCTATGGAACAGCACTGTCCAACAGAACTGTCTGTAAAGATGGAAATGTTCTATATGTTGCTGTCCAATATGGTAGCCACTAGTCACAAGTAGCTATGGCATACTTGAAATGTGGCAAGTGTGACTGACGAACTGAATTTTAAATAGCCACATGCGGCTGCCATATTTGACAACACAGCTACAGTTGTTGCATAGTCTGGGCTGGGATCAGCCTCCCTAACTTGACATCATGTGGTCAAGTACATTGGTTCCCACAGGCCAAGGTCCTGCCAGATTCCAGATGTTACCGAGATAGTGCTTATCTTAACTAATGACTATTCAATTTGTGTGGTGACATTTTATATTATATCCAAGCCTTTCTTACAGATAACAGACTCTTTTTAAAATCTGAATCCCTGTCCTTTGTCTAAGATAAAGGAAATGCACATCTTTTCTGCCTGACTACTCTTTAAAGTATGTTTGGATGTCAAAGTAGTCTATACGGTTGATTTTGAAATTGGCCCCAGGTATTCAAAAAGTAATTCAGAAATATCTAGGAAAGAGTCTTCTTAAACAAAATAAATAAATGCTACTGTTTTTTCCAAATTTCAAATTGAGATTTTACTCACTGTTTCTACAACCCCTTGGAAATTTTAAACTAAAATCTGTTTCCTTACCGAAACTTTTTTTCCTCCTTCACGCGCACACTCTGCTTTGTTATGGTAGGGTGGTTCATGTGGGCTGGGCTGCTGGAATTGATTGTTTTCATGTAGAAAAAAGTTGTTAAAGGATCTGTTTGTTCTTCAAGACACATATAAAGAATCACACGGAGTCAGCAAACATACCATAGAAGAAACAATTTCTAGGCCAAATTGTAGGGCCTACCAATCTCGGCAGGGTTCCTTAAGCAAAGAGTGGACTTTGGGGCCCATAATGAGGCTCTATTCAGCAGGCCAGCATGGCTAGGCCAGGAGAAGAAGGGAGAAGGAGGAAGACACATCCCTCAGACACTAGGAATTATATGGGTCTAGTCCTCATTCAGCCAGCACTTAATTTACAGGTAGAGAACAGATACCATGACACACCAGAAGAGACTGAACAAAAATGGTTGTATTTCTAAGTACAGAAAGTCTAGCTCCATCGTATTTTCCCCTAGATCAAAGCCTTCCTGAGGGTCATCCGTACATACAGCACATACAGCTGACAGCTCCAAAGCTGGGCCCTTTCCAGCACACGTGTTCAGGATGAGCAGAGATCGCCTCACAGCAATGGCTGTACCCCCAATGCTCCCAGTCTATGTGTGGAAGGAAATCTGAACTGTTAAGGAAAAAGTTAGAGTGTATCCTGCACAAAGTGCTTTGTCTCTGGGTTAGGATGCAACATCACACACAGCTGCCTGAAGTCTTGGACATCACGACAGACAGCTCTGCCAGGGATGGGTGCATTCAGCCAGTGGGGAGCAAGGCAAGCCCACCTTCACTCATGCAGCCCTGCCACGAAGTCTCAGTAGACTATCCCTCAAAAACATTGTCATCAAAGATGGGCTTCACTGGATCTTGGGAAACTGAAATTAAATAAGCATCAGTACATTAAACCTATCGTGTAGCCTCTGTGCCGACAAGGTCGTCTACAAGCATTAAGTGGGTGCACCACCACCTGTAGTTTGTGGAACCACATTAGTGACACCATAAATGTCAACTTCAGACATGCCAAAGGCAATAATTTGGAAGCTACATCAGCCACAGAAACACGGACTGGGTCCACAGACACAAGGTCTTAAAGAAATCAGTCTGAGTTTGAAAGAAAATCGGGGTCAGATCTCCCACGACAAAATGCAAATAGAAACTGGATGCCTGTAGCACGGGGATGATGAGGAGTTCTCAAAACTTGGTGGCCAAGGTAAGCGGGGTAAACCTGGGGAACATTTCCAAATGGTAAAGCTAGCAGCTGGCTAATAATTTCCAATTACCTAAGAAGCTGTACACCTTGTTTCTGAGGAAATGCATCTATTTTGATTGTAGACTTTTTCAAACAGGTCTGCATTATTTCCTGAGAAACCAAAATTAAATAATTCCTCTTTCCTAGTAATCATGACCAATGATATTTATGGCATTTCCAATTAAGTGGCAAAGAGGGCACAACTGCTCATTAATAGCTTTCCATGACTGGGCACGGAGGCGGTAAAGGAGGACTGGGGGAACTCAGGTGTGAAGTCCCGCCCCAGGGTGGACTTGTCCGCGGAATCGCAGCTGGGCTCATTAATGCAGCACATACTCATAGCTGCCTGCTACATGCCGTCTGCTGTACCAGGCGCCGGGTGCATATTCCACCAGAGATTTTAACTGGTGGTCCCTAGAAGAGCAGAGAACACTGAGGCAGCAACGGGGCCTCTGAGACAACGAACTGGGGGAGAGGGGAGCTTTAGAGAAAGAACAAAGGACAAGACTGAGGGAGGCAGAGAGAGAGAAGCAAGAAATAGCAATCCAGCCTGGGAGCAGCAGGGAGACAAAGCAGAGAACAGCTAACAGAGCCTTGCAAAACTCAGAATGGAGGGGACGAGAGAACCCAGGGAGGGGACAGAGACAGAAGCAGAGAGAAGACACGGAAGCAGAGAGTACCTGAGACAGAGTTAACGAGAGGGCTCTGAGCCAGAAGCAAGAGGTGAGGAGAAGCTGAGTCTTCTGGGTCTTTTTTTTCCCCTGCTGAATAGAGCCTTGATTATAGTGTTACCCAATGTCTGACCAATTTCAGTCTATTTTCTTAACATTTCATGGCGAGAACTACATGAATGCAAAAGGCACCCCAAAGCTAAGAACCTCGAGTCAAGTGTGGGACAAAAACTCCTACTATAGCTGCAATTAACACCCCGATTTTGGTATAATATTGTAACGGACGAATTTTAAAAAAATATTTTTAACCACCAGATTTATTTTAGTTCCCATTCCAGCCTAATGAGCCTAATGAGAGTCCATTTTTTTTTTTTCAGTAACAGCTGTTCTTTTGAACCTTCTGAATAGACATCTGATTTAGATTTGAAGGAAGTCGTTTTAGAAGTTGGTGCAGACCCCATAAGCCCAACTCGGCTAAATCCAGGCCCGTGCACCACAGACTTCCTGAAAAAGCAAGAAATCTGGCAGCCAGCAAGGAGTCAGAGTTACTGTTAAATCTAAACCCAGTGGACACATTTCCCTCCTTCAGGCTGTAAATTCAGGCATAAGTGGTTTCAAGACCATTCCCTACTTGTGAATTTAATAGAGAAAATCTATCTGCAGCTCAGCTACGCAAGGGGAAGGGCTTCTTTTGTTTTTATTGGATCTCAGCTCCATTATGACTTTGTGGCCTCTGTTGGAGAAAACATTCTCGCATAATGAGCTTTTATATCATTAAATTGGAAATGAAATAACAGTTGATGGTAGCAGCCCCTGCAGGAACTGTCTGGCTTTGGACCCACCATATTGATGACTGGTTTGCTCGCTTACTCGGGGGCAGGGTTTTAGGTGAATGCAATAAATAAGTTGAATTTTACCAAGACTGCATTTATGTCCCATGCAATTACTACAGAAAATTACAACAGTGAGAGGTCTCAAAAGTCATTTAAGCTATTTTTTTCCCTACAGAAAAGAAAGAAAAGAAACGAGGCTTTAAGAAACTTAAACATAGCATATATTGAAGTGCAAACCTACTAAAAATGGTCATTTAAATACTTACCATTCCATCTCTATCTGGTGAACCTCTGTAACAAAGAGAAATTGGTAGCTATTAGGAAAATGAACGATTCTTGCTGCATAGAGTAAAGTACAAGAAGAATCCCGAACCACCTCTCTCCCTTCTCCCACATTCCCACCCCTCTAAGCCTGGCAAATGGAAACAAAATCAAAACAAATCGGTTGAGTGACAGCCGAGTGTGGGGTGCGTGTATGTGTGTGTGGGAGAGAGATTCTCATTAAAAACTGAAGTCTAAAAGGTACAAGTTGCTGGTGCAGTGTCTTGGTGCACATTTGAGACAAGAATTCATTGTCTGTCCTAGTCTAGCTGGCTCCGTTTAAAACAACCACAAGGAATGTAAACCGATTTCATCTCTCTCATTTTTCCCCCGTGAGTGTTCTTGAATTTTCCCCTATAAGAAGGAACTTCTATGGTATTTTTCAACTTACTTTGAGAATCTATATTTTCTTCCATATTTCTATATTTACTGCTCTTTTGATTATAGGAGAGCAGGAAACGAGAGGAGGGCAATGTTTTGCTAAATGGCTCACTCCGATGACTAAATCCAGGGTAGTTAATCCACAGTGGCACTATGCTGCAGTCCTTGGAGCGAAGCTTTAGAGTAGGAAGAATTTGGGGGTCCAGACTCCACCACTTATTAGTTCTGTGACTTTGAACACATTCTTAACCTCTTTAAGCCAGTTTAAATAAGATAATGCATGTAAAGAACTTATAATTGTTCCTGATACATACTAAGTATTAGAATATATTCATTTATTGTAATTTTTTTTCTCCTTCATGATGTCTGTTTACAAGGAACACAAAATTGCCCACCTGCTGCCACATTAGACTTTATATCAACATAGGAAGGGTATTATTATTGTTACTTTGGAAAACTGAACTGGAGGAGCCAGAGGAAGGGAGAAACAAGAGGATAGTCACTGCAACTCTATAATTTTCTATTTCAATTCACTCTGTAAGGAACTAGAAAATGTTATTCTATTAACATGGAGACCAGAATTATGCTTAGATGAGGATCTGCACTGTTTGGAAGAAAATCTTAATAAGTGCCTGGACTGTGAAATCTTGAGGAATTGGTGTGGTTGGAACTATTCTTTAGGAGGTGGGACCAGGTATGGAAATTCTTTATTGCTTCATAGGATGGGGCAGAGGAGAGAGAGCGCACGAGAGAAAGAGAGAGAGACGCAGAGAGTAGGTGGGACGCCCTCTGGGCTCCAAGACGTGATTCTTCTTCCCCACTAACACCCCCTTCGAAATGAGCAGAATAATCTACTTTGATTACAAAACACTCGATGGGAATGCATCATTTGCATAATCGGTGAATTCTGCGTCTCCATGGACGTCGAGGCCAGTCGGTGAAAGAGGGATGAGAGGCAGAGAGGACCCTGATGTCGAAAGATTATGGGAGTTAACGGGAATCTCGGGGTTTTCGGACATTCTCTGGCTATGGGAATTAGTTGGTTCAAAGAAATTTTATCTAAAATAGAAGGATTATCTAAAATAGAGTCTCAGCTGATAAAAGCTATAATTCGTTGAACAAATATTGAGTGCTTATAATGGGCCAGGCACTAGGCTAGCGAGGATCATGGGATAAAAATAATGAAGAAGACATGCTCATCACAGAGAGAATGAGACAGGCAAGTCAAATCCCGTGGGTTATCATGGCCACGATATGCCCAGGCCGCCCAGGTAGGAAAGCACAGAGGAAAGGTACCAACTCACACTCATCAAAACCAGCTTCCCTTTCATATCTATACACTGCAAAAATGAGCATTTCTTCCTAGGATTTCAACCCCTGCTAGAGGAATCGGGAGAGAGGTGATTGTAACAATTTTTATGTAGGATATATCCAGGCACTGATCCTTGTGGAAAAGAGAAGCCTCTGGAGATCAGCCTGGCTGTGTGTGGTGTTGTCCCCTTGGTCTACGTACATGGGCATATTGATAGGGGTTCTTAAATAGGGGACCACTTGATCTCATATATATCGCAGCTATAGGGATGGCATTTCAACACTTTTAATCAGAAAAACTGTAATTGTACATAGCAGCTCTGGGGTCCTATTCTGATCCTTTGTCTTATCCATTGATGAATATGGGGCTGGTGCTTCCTAGAATAGTGGCAGTAACCATGACAATCAAGAGTCAAGAGCGCCGGTTCTACTGCCACACTGCCTGGGTTCACCCAACTTAGATCTCCCAGCTGCATAACTTTGGGCAAGTCACTGCACCCTCTGTGTCTCAGTTTCCTCATCTACAAAGTAGCCGTGATAATAGCATGTGCCTGAGAGGGCTATTAGAGGATTCAATGAGTTAATATAAGTGAAGAGCCTGGACTGGTGCCTAGAACATAGTAAATACTTATTAAATGTTATCTAGAATAAGAATTATTATAAAATATGACCTAGGATGGGGAGTAGAGAGGTTTTAGAGCGGCAGACTCTTCGGCATGTGTTCTCAATTCATCTCCTAATCCCTTTTTATCAAGTTTTATATTTTATTTTTAAATGTTTTTTTTTTCTTTTTAACCACAACCTTCTATTTTAAAACTAATCGCCTACCATGGACCCTTTGCCTTCATCTGAAAAGTGTCAGTTACATCTCGCAACTACTGCCTTTTCTCTTACCCTTGTACCGGTCTTGAGTATAATTTTCCCATCTCTTCTTTCTCTTCTGGGTGATAAAAGAATAGGCACTCCATTCTGGACTATAATAATGGCTCCGAGTCTTATTTTCTGGGTAGCCTTCAGCAAGTTACTTAATTCCTTTTGGCACAGATTTTTCATCTCTAAAATTGAGATATTTCTCCTAACCTTATTGAATGACTGTGAGGATTAAAAAGGATATCACTGCATACACAATACCCTGCCCAGGGCCTCCACTTAGCACAGGCTTTCTCCTTTCCTCTCTCTGTCAGCCACTGTAATGATGACCAAATCAGGAAGTTCTGGTCCTATCCCCACTCTCTAAGGAGGTTCAATCAGCTGATGTTGGAGCTGGCCGCCACCCTAGCAGGTTGCTTGGCAACCCTCACAGAGTTGCAACAGCCCTGAAAACAGTTTGCAGCCACAAGGTTTCAATGACAGCAGACTAACATTAGCCCCACCTAAAGCTGCAGGGATGGCAAACTGCAGAGTGTTTTCCCAGCCTTTCGCAAAAATGATATATGACCCAATTAGAGAGCAGGGGTTCAGGAAAAGCAAAGGCTTACACTAAATGCCTTGTCCTTTGACCATCGCTGCTGGTGGGACCAGTTTATGGCTAATTTGCTAAGTAATCTGGGGCACTCAAATGACAGAAATCCAGGAGAGATGCTTGGGATTCTACAAGCAAAGGTCTTGTTAGAGGACTTCAGATATATTGGGCATCCAGCCGAAGCCCTGAGGAGTAACGTCCTTATTCCATACCTTTAGAAATGGCGATGAGAGAGCAGTGCCTGGGCCACACGCAAATGAGCTCAGCCTGCCCTGGGGAGGGTGTTTGACCTCTTTTCCCTTTTGAGGGAGTTTTCTTTTCCTTTTTAACTTTTTTCACACACCAGAGATTATGTATAGTCAGTTACACACTGCCTTCAAAGAAAAATGGATTTGGTTTCTGCTAATGATGTTCTTCTGAGATGTGTCTACTGGTGTCCAACACAACACGTGGCACATTGTAGGTGACAACGGATGTTGCTGGCAGACAGACTGGTACGGTGTCTGGCCCTTTAGGGAAATCAGATTCCATCTAGTGTAAACTGAGGCCCAGTACAGGAAAGCATGATTTCCAAGGTGTGGAGCTATCGGCAATGCTGGGACTAGAACCCAGGTCTTCCGACTCCAGGGAAAGAACCATCACCTGTTCTGGGAGTTAATGTTCAGGAAATGGCAATTTCTTAAGAAACAATGGAAATTATGTAATCCTCAGAAAAATATTCTTAATTCAATCATTTAGAAAAATTTGCAAGACTAGAGTAAATGTAATTTCCATGAAATAATTATTTACCAAGAGAAAAAGTACAAAGAAAAGGTAAGAACAAGAGACTTAACTTTGGCTATCTAGATAAAAAATAGCTTCCCCCTAATCCTTTACTGTCTTGGGTTCAAAAGCCTTCAAGGCTTCAAGGTTGCCCACTGCCTAAGCAAGGAAGCCCAGACCCCTCAGCCTGCTTCTAAAGCCCTTCCTGTTTGGCCCTCATCTCCTTTCCGGGCTTGCCTCCCATTATCACCTTTACCTGTAGGACAGGTAGACAAACTACCCTACTTGTCTTGTCCTGAATCCCTTCGTGACTGGTCTGCCTCTCTGCTTTGGCTGCTGTTGTTCCCTCTGCATGAGATGCATGTCCTCAGCTTCTTGAAGGCAAACTCAAGGCTCCTCCCTCCCTGAAACTTCACTGATCATCTGTCCAAATATGAGCTTTCCCACCCTCAAATTCCCATGGAATTCCATTTTTAATTGCTCATAAGGAACTTACCACATATTAACTTGTATTAGTAGTAATAAGAGTAGTAGTTGCTGTCATTTACTGAGTATTTATTAAGTACCAGGTACCATAGCAGGCATTTCAAATAGGTTATCTCATTTAGTTATATGAAAGATATTTCAATTTGTATGATAGATATTTTATCCCAGGAATTATAAATTCTTGGAGGACAAGGACACAGGGCAATGCTCAACACCTTGTGATAAAATTTAAGCATGCTAGAAATGTACAGAATGAAAAGCTAAAGGTGAGAAATAAATGAAGCCCTCTTCATTTTCACCTGTGCCCAAAGAACTATTAATTTTCCCATTTTCTAACTTTCTTTCAGGGATTCTAGCCAAATAATGGGTTCATTATTCTGATATACAGCAGACCGCACCAGATCTGCATTTCCACATGCTCACAACCAGCGGCAGCTGAGCAGTGGCGCTCTCCCAAAATACATACGTAGAATCAGTGTCCCTTTCTTTCTTCCGTATTCCAAAGGCCTTCCTTGTACGTTTTTTCAATCCTGTGGGAAAACAACAAAGGGTTAAAGAAATCTTTTTTCTCCTTGAATGTTCCTAGCAACACTCAAGTGTTTTAAAGTAGCAACACACCGGTTAAATTTGAATGTTCAAAAAGCAATGACAGTTTCTTCATTTGTTTGTATGTGTGTGTGCACGTGCATGTGATTCATTATTGTATTTTTCAACAGATGTTTATCAAGAACTCAGGACTGTAAGTTCTTAGCACTATAAGCAACACAAGAATATAAAAGAATGGAAAGGAGATCAGGGCCAGGTATAGATTACAAGCTTTTCTTAGACTATTGTTAGTCATCACCCAAATTGTCGCTTTGCCACTAAACCAAATCACAGATTTAGAAAAATAACAATTTCCAGGTCAGACACATTCGTGAGACTGGGATAATTCCAAGACACAGATTATGTAAACCATACCAAAAGAGCTACACCCACCTGACCTATCTTTGTGTCCCGTACTCCCATCTCATCTTTTTCTACTTCCTCAATTCTGTGGCTAGACTGGATTTTTCGCCATTCTCTGAACATACCCCAACATCTGTACTCCAGTATCTCTTTCTGCCTTACGTGGTCCTTACCTCTGGTTGAAATGCTTTCCCTATTTCGTTGATATTTAGAACTTCAGTCCATCCTTCAAGGCCCAGCCAAATGCCTCCCTTTGTGAGGGTCTCTCAATAATAGTGGTGTAAGAAGCTGACTATTCTGTGCTCCCCTCAAATGTTGCTCTTATATGTATAATAATACATCAAACTGCTCCATTTATTAGTTCCTATGTTAGTCTCCCTCAGGGGCTGTGAGCCTTTCTAGGACAGAGGACAAAGATCCCCTCTGTAAGTTCCCTATGCCTAGTACAGGTACCAGATAATATTTGTTGATTTAAAATATCTTCAGGAAACATCGTTCAGGCAGTATTGGCGTAAGAAGGCTCCTTTCTTTCATCCTGGACAAATCAAGCCCAGTCTTGGTTCTTCCATTCTTATCCTGTCAAGGCTCTCTGTGCGAGTCCCACCTCCTATATGTTCTGTGGTTACATATGTGGCTTGTATTTCTGACGTTAGTGAGTATTATTCAAATGTACGAAATGCCTATATAGTCAAAACCTTACACTTGTTCCTGGTGGTTTGGAAAGTCTCACAAATTGGAGCTGAAAAAGTCACAGACTTTCAAGATTTGTTTGGCATTACCAGGTGGAACAAAGGGAAAAATGCTGGCAGAACCAGAGATTTGATGACACCTTTTTCCAAAACATGTGAGTCAGTGCAAACTGCTCAGAGTCTCTGAGTCATTCAGTATCTGGCCTTAGGATACTACTCATATATAATCTCCCAAATGCCTCTGTTCAGTCTAATTTTGCATTTTAGTAGTCACTCCATTTAAGATGTTTAGGTCTTTAAAATGTCGATGTTTATTTTTTTAAAAATCTGCTCCCACATTAAGCTATTCTCCATTACTTTCCACAGGAGGAGTTTATAGGAAAACTTACTGACATTTAAAACTACCCACCCATAATATTTAGGAACACCTTCTCCTCATTTGTTTGTAATTTTGATTGTTAAAAACATTCTTCCTTCTTACTTCTAATTGCCTTATCCACTTATACGGACAAAATGTCATAGTTATAGTCATCATTTTCTTCCTATAATTTTCCTTGGGCTTCAAGTCTCTTAATTGGCTTCTCCGTGCTTCTAAGTCAGCTTTGGGGTCACAATGAATGCCATATTCACCAATCACTACTGGTTTTTATAGGACTATAAAACTAATACTATTATTATCTTAAGTTTTCAAAGCACTTTATTTTCTATAACTTGACCTTGAGATAAGAACATGCCCTACCAAATAGATCAGAAATACACACAAATTCCAGTAATTCTTGTATTCAATTAGTAACAGAGCAGGCAATAGTAGTTTTCCACAGACTGTGTCCCGTTTTCACCATCAAATTTAGACAATAGCTAATGTGAACTAGGTCATGAATGTCACGAGTTGTCCGTTTTCCAGTGAAAAATGCACTGGATCAGGATTCAGGAGGCAGAGTCTGTTCCCAGCATCATTTCTAATTGTGTAGCTAATACAAGTGATATCTCTTTGTGTTTCAATCTCTCAATCTACAACAAATCAGCCAGTAATAGGGGATGAAAGAATTTGCACACATTGACAAAATGCTATGTCAATCTGTAGTTAGTTTCACTGAAAGTCATATTTACATAGAATAGAATATATAGAATACATTCCCATATATGGAATATATGTAGAAATACACCAAAGATGTGACATTCCAGGAAAACAAAACTAGTCAAATTGTTGAATAAGAAAAAACATTGAAAACTTTTTTCTCCCTTGAAAAGTGGAACCATTTGAGAGTTTAAGAAAATATGAAGACTAAAGACCAAAGCAAACAAAGTTATGAAATGTAAAAGTTATTCATATTGTAACAGCTCTTTGAGAAGATCCAGGAAGAAACAATCATACCAATGGTGTTAAAAGTGAATGGAGAAGTGCGGTCATGTCTTTTGAGTTTATTAAAAAATATTCAAAGAAATTCTTCAAAAGAGAGCAATGATAGTCAAAGATCTTATGGGAATAACAAGTTTAAGACACTATATCTGATAATCTGATAAACTTAAAGAACACTTTATCCAATGATTTTCCACTTCTAACTCCAGAACTCCATGAAAAATTTCAAGTCAATTTCTACAGTATAACTGTTTTTAGGCTGCGTCACGAATTTTTGTCAATTATCCTTTACCAAAAATGGGAGGGAAAAAAAATCAAGTGTTTTTGAGACATGAGATAACTTTTCCTTTGCCAATATCAAAACAAAGAGACCTAAAGGGAAAGCATTTTATCACCGTGATGTTCTGGGGCTAGAACGGTTCTCTCTCAAGCTGTGGAATTGAGAGCATCTTCCTGTGTGCATTCAAGACTACAGTCTTGGATCAGCCACGCAGGAAGTCTGGCCTGTGCCTCTAGCTTCTCTCCACCTCATTTAGATTCTTTTAGCTTCCTTTGGTATTATGGGAGAAGCTAGTCAATCTGGGGACAACAACAAAATTAAAAATAGTGATTTTTAAGACGGTAGGAAAGCTTATTGCAAAATGGACAGTCCTGGATACGACATTACAAGATAATGAAATACAGCAACAGATGCAGAAACTGACAACTGTGACAGTGTCAAAAAAAATGCAGAGTCAGAAGAAGTTTCATCACTGTAACATCATTAGCTACCGCTACTAAGGTCCTACCTGTGGGCCAGGTACCAGTTGCTTTCACGTGTTATCTCATTTAGTTCTCTTATAAACCTTCTGAAAAAGTAGGTGTTTTCTTTTCAAATGAGGAGGGACCTGAGGGTTAGCCTAAGTTAGGTTTTATGATCAGCATCTCCAGGGAGGAAATTGGAGGTCCTTTCCCTCCACTACTCCCAAATGTTGAAGTTCGTCGGGACTTGGAGGGTCTCCCCAGGGCAATTTCATCCACTCACATGGTTTCATTTACCACATGTACGTAGATGAATTTTGAATCTATATGTCAGGCTCAGTACTATCTCATGAGCTTCTCAGTATACAGTACTTCTTCTCATACTCAGGCTTCTACAGACAGACATCAGATTTCTTCAAAAATCTTTAGGCTCCACTTACTATATATATGTAATCATACCTATAAAGGTATGCCCAATCATTTAGTTTACAGTTATTTTCTGAATAAAATTCCCCTTAAAATGAAATGGTTCTCCATCCACTGATGAATGGATCAACAAAATGTGGTATAGCCATACAATGGAATATTATTCAGTAATAAAAAGGAATGAAGTACTGATACATGCCACAACATGAATGAACCTTGGAAACATTATGCTAAGTGAAAGAAGCCAGAGACAAAAAGCCACATATTGTATGATTCCATTTATATGAAATATCCAGAGTAGGCAAATCCATCGATGCAGAAAGCAGATTAGAGGTTGCCAGGGACTGGGTGGAGTGGGAAATGGGAAGTGACTGCTTAATAGGTACAGAGTTTCCTTCTGGGATGATAAAAAGTTCTGGAACTAGACAGTGGTGATGGTTGCCCAACATTGAGAGTGTACTTAATACCACTGAAATGTACACTTTAACATGGCCCAAATGGTAAATTTTATGTCATGTGTATTTCATCACAATAAAAAAGAAATGGAATAGTTCAAGCCAGATTATTCTGTGACCAGGAGGAAAAAAGATGGGAGGGAATGGGGAAGAAAAGAAAGAAATAAGGTGATTGGCTTGAAAGTTTATGGGACCTCTTTTTTTGTTGTTGGCCAAAGTTGTCAAATATTTAATAAAGAAATGAGGGTCTATATAGTCACAAATCTGTGTTCATGATGACCTGCACTCTTTAGAAGGTGATAGCCAGGAAGTTCTAAAGTACCTTTTCTTTTTAAAATTAGTTCAGGGAAGTTTCAGAGAAAAACACTAGTAAACACAATAATTTGTGTTTTAAATTAAAAAGACATTTTAAAAAGAAGTTTGTTTTTTTTTTTTAAAGACTTTTTGGACTTATATCTTACATGGTCCTCCAGTTTGCAAACACTCACCACACACACAACAGAGGCCAAGAGTTTCAGGAAACACTTTGCCCTTTCTACGGGCAACGCACACATAGTTTTTCACCTCCATTTCATTTTGAATGGAAGTTTCACCCTAACAAATTGATTTCATAAGCTCCCAATGGGGCCTGACTTGCAGTTTGTAAAGGCGATGAGAAATAATGGCTCTCTTTTAATACAACAGAGTGAACAATTTTAAGGAATGCTCTATTTGGGAAATACTATGGGGCAGTGAAAACAGACACCTGCGGGGTGGAGCGGCTGCCTTCACGGAGCTGACCATTGAGTGCAGGTTAATGCGCCACTGTGATCTTATGAGAAAAGCCGAAAGGAACAAGCAACATAATGAAAATGTGTTTACGACAAGCTTTTTGGTAAACTTCTGTTATGTGAGAGAGAAAAGCTGCAGGT